TTACTATAACAATATAAACACTCGTGTGAACTAGTAGGTTTGTAAGGGAAGGGTAGTTACTATAACAATATTAAACACTAGTGTGAACTAGTAGGTTTGTAAGGGAAGGGTTGTTACTATGACAATGTAAACACTAATGTGAACTAATAGGTTTGTAAGGAAAACGTTCACATTATCCACTATTTATTCTTGATCAAAAACTGGATTGAAGTTTGTGCTTAAGAGGAAAAAAAAAAGAATAGAGAATCTGATAATCTCGTCTTTATTTTAACTACACAAGCTTAAGTTCATATTAGTTGTCAGACCTTTTTTCCAGGTTTTTAATGTATATTTTGCCTTATTTTTATTATAAGTTTTCACACTAACTATTTCAAACATTCGCCTTTCTAAACATATTATCAACGATTCTCTTCGAGTTCATAACTAACCCTAATTGTTGGTTATTGATTTTTTCTCCCGTCTTAGTATAATTAACATTTTAATTATCTTTCCCTGCATCTATCCCATTTAGAAGTACATATATTTCCATAAGGTCAAACTCTGAAGTGAAACCAAAGATTTTACGAGTTTTATGCCACTCCAGGGTAAAAACCTAAATATTCGTAATGTGAGAATTTTATCTCATTTTTCTCATCACCACAGGGGATTTTTCTCGCCGTTCTCTACTGTTTTATGAACGCAGAGGTGAGTAGCTTTAGTTACTTTTATAATTAACTTTCAGAAGTTTAACGTTTCACTTGATGCAAATAATAATAATAAAGACTATGGACTAAAAAAAACCCTCACGATCTTTATTAAATAACTGTTCTCAAATGTTTTGATGACATCATTGATGAATAGAGTAAACAACAAAAAAAAAAGGGGGGACTGGTAGAAATATTGTAGTAGGCTTGTCAAGAGTATTGTGCTAGACAGTTTAACTAAACCGTAAAACCAAAAATCCTTATTTTATCATTAAAACTGACAAAAATATTAGAACTATAAAAAATGCTCTACAACTGCTTAGTTGAAGCAGTTACTTACTCATTTTTACCTGTAAATAAATAAATATTCTTGAAAATATATCACATCAGCTGTTAAGGGTCTAGTTAGACAATAATAATTACTGTGTAAGTGTCTTAGGTTGATGTAACACAAAAAGTATGACAAATCAATCCAAATATGCTTGAGTGCAAAAAAAAAGCAAAAAAATTCTACTTTATCTTAAACATTAGTGATATCTCATAAACTCAGCAGAATAAAACAGCTTGGCATCACTCACATTGCATAATTTTATGCATGTGCTGTAAAACCGAAGTTACATTCAGCTTGACTCCTAATTCACATCATTGAGTTACACTGTACAAAATGTGATGTGGTGAATTAGGAGCTAAGCCTAATTCACATCATTGAGTTACACTGTACAAAATGTGATGTAGTGAATTAGGAGCTAAGCCTAATTCACATCACTGAGTTATACTGTATAAAATGTGATGTGGTGAATTAGTAGCTAAGCCTAATTCACATCACTGAGTTATACTGTATAAAATGTGATGTGGTGAATTAGGAGCTAAGCCTAATTCACATCACTGAGTTATACTCTATAAAATGTGATGTGGTGAATTAGTAGCTAAGCTTAATTCACGTCACTGAGTTACACTGTACGAAACGTGATGTAGTGAATTAGGAGCTAAGCCTAATTAACATCACTGAGTTACACTGTATAAAATGTGAAGTGGTGAATTAGGAGCTAAGCCTAATTCACGTCACTGAATTACACTGTACAAAATGTGATGTGGAGAATTAGGAGCTAAGCCTAATTCACGTCACTGAGTTACACTGTACAAAATGTGATGTGGTGAATTAGGAGCTAAGCCTAATTCACGTCACTGAGTTATATCGTATAAAATGTGTTGTGGTAGATCAGGAACTAAGGTGAACATAACTTCAACACATAAATAAAATGATGCAATGTGAAGTAATGCCAAGCTGGTTTATTTTGGTGCGTTTATGAGATATAACCTACTGTTTAAGCTGAGGCATAATTTTTCTTTTATTTTCGTTTAAATGTTGTTGTTTTTATGGATGTAATGTTTAATTAAATTTACTTTTGATTTTCTGTAGGTACAAACTACTCTGAGAAATGCTTACCTTCGCGCTGCTGTTCGTCGAAATGCTACGTCCAGTTCCAGAGATCGATGGTACTCGAATACATCAGCTTCATATTATGACTGCTCGGCAACTTACAGTCCTCGCCACAAAAGGGCGTCGTCTAAGCCTGTTCACATTCGTCTTTCTGATCTGAGAAATTCGAAACAAAGTCGTTTGTAGTGGTGCTCTCTTTTGTCGTGTTTGTAACCTGTTTTTAAACATTATTAATATTAAATGTTTATCAACAGTTGTGCAAAATTTTCGTCTTGTTGTTGGTTGAATCAGCGATCTTTTACCTGATGTTATATGTAAACGATCTATAATTTTGTCAATTCAAATTACATATAATTATCACACAAATAAAATAAATCATGTATTGGCTGTATATATATATATATATATAACCTGGTTTGTTCATGATGTTAATAAAACGATTTAACACACACACACACAAAAAACGAAACCTTATAACAAAATCGCTTTCGAAAGCTGGACATTTAGGTTATAGGGTTTTGTATTTTTGTGTTATAACTTGATTTGCCCGATTAAGCCGTATGCGTTGCCAGTTTACCCTAATAAACTGAAGTTGATAATATTACCAGTAAAGTGTATATCATCTTAGTGGTAGAATCAGTATACAGTATTAGTTTTATCAACCTGATTGGAGCCTTATACATCGGCTAAATGGTTAGTTCAGAGAATCTCAAGCGTCATCCCTAATATACAGTTGCTGACCAGAAGGATGATAACCATTCAATAGCACCTGCCGCCTAATAAAAGGTTAGTTTTAACCAAAAGCTAGATTGAACTCCCTCAGTTAAAAGTGCGTAGTGGGCTCAGCGTCTCGAACCTTGGACTTGCTGATCCTAAGCCTAGCTCACTAGGCTATATTTGGCCTCTCTTATTTAAGGCTTTGAGACATATTTATATTAAAAAGAAGACAAAAAAAAACGAACAAAACCAGTGAAATTATGTTGTGTTGAATTTCAATGTTTCCATAATTTTGCTGTTAGTTATGAAGAATTCACTCTATGTTATGGAATGTTCTACTACAGTTACAGATTCCTGTAATAAGTACCTTTATCGGTCTTAGTGCAGTGAGGGAAGAAAATTTAAAATAAATACAAATTTCCAAAAAGGAAAGTTATTAACAATACTCAGTTTTAATATTATTAATTCTTTGTACGGTAGATGGCAGCACTGAGGTTTAGAATAAAAAAATCCGCATTTCGATAAATACACGTACTAGCTTTGACAATATCTGCTTTGTCATAAAAGTGTTTAATTTAATTTAAGATTATTGTATTAATTACTCTCATTTTGTTTATATCTTACTTTCACAAAAGTAGATCTTCTAATGCTATGTTCAATAAAAGCTTTTAAAAACAATTCATGTAATACAAATTTCTTCATGAGATCGTGTTTTGATTTTATAATAAGATCACTAAAAGACCAGAAGACAACGTGAGACTGAAGAGGACGCACGAATATGTTGAAACTAGTTTCTCTAACATCAGACTTCTGACAGTTCATTCCGTTTACTTTAATTTTTCATGAATAACAGAAACAATTTCCTCTACTTAAGCATAATTAAAAAGGCAAAATTTAGGACAACATAACGAGCCTGAAGATGACCCCTTAGGTCACCAAACCGAGCAATGAGGACAGCCTTACGCCACTATTTCATAAACGAATCTTGAATTCACCATTTCAGTATGATATTCTAAATAACCTTTTCTGTGTAAACCTGAAGTCAACATTTATTGTCATCAACACAAACAACCAATCTGTGGATAACGTTTCGTCTGTCACACCATTCTTATTGTGATCAACACAAACAATCAATCTGTAGATAACGTTTCGTCTGTCACACCGCAGATTGGTTGTTTGTGTTGGTGACAATAAGAATGGTGTGACAGACGAAACGTTATCTACAGATTGATTGTTTGTGTTGGTGACAATAAGAATGGTGTGGCAGACGAAACGTTATCTAAAGATTGGTTGTTTGTGTTGATCATAATAAGAATGGTGTGACAGACGAAACGTTGGTGTGACAGACGAAACGTTATCTACAGATTGATTGTTTGTGTTGGTGACAATAAGAATGGTGTGACAGACGAAACGTTATCTAATTCTTATTGTCACCAACACAAACAATCAATCTGTAGATATAGACTAACAACTCATAATGCTAAGGTTTCATTATATCTTCAGATTGCAATCCCCACCCCACCCCCTGTTATTATCAATATTTATGGCTGTATTCACAAGACTATCTAATGAAAGAAAGATGTAGGTTACATCTAAGTTAAAACACAAAGTCAGCCTTCAGAGAGCTTTTCGTTAAGCCTAAATTAAAATCAAGGCCAGACTTGAGAGAGATTTGTGTTAAGCCTAAATTAGAACGATAGGCTAGCCTTGAGAGATGTTTAGACTTAGTCTAAATTAAAACCGCAGACAAGCATTTTATAAGATAGGTTTAAATGTATAAAACAATAATAATAATAACTACTAATGTAAACAATTACAATAGTTACCTGTCATTTAGAGCCACGATGGTCATTATCAATATTAATATTAGTTCCACTAAATTCTACAAACCGTAAGGACAAAAACATACTGACTGTTTATCAGTTGAAATGTGTTGTTTTTATGGTACTTACTGAGAACAGTACCACACTGGGAGTGGTTCAGAGACAGCGAGTAGATACCTTAACAAACTGCGTGAACGTGTAACTATTAATTCATTTACGTTTGCAATGATAACACCGTAAATTTAACATTTTTCAATGAAAATATTCTATGTTTTTAAATTTATTTCAAAATAACCTAAAGCTGTGCTTGTTTAAAAATACTACAATTTTGTAATTTTAAATTGAGAAATATCGTAAAACAGTGGTCTTCAATTTCCTTTTTTGTGGACCACCTGATTGTTTTAAATCTCTGTGGACAACAATAGATTCTAAGAACCACGCTTCCGATTGTCTTCATTATAGACGACCCACCAATCAGAGCCTTCGAACTCCTCTAGTGCAGGGGTTCACAAATTGTGGTACTCGTACCACTGGTGGTACGTAGAGCTAATGTTGATGGTACACGACACAATTAACATAAAAAATAATAAGATTATTAATAAGCCTTATCTGAGCTTTCCACGTACATATACACACTCCTCTCCTCACTTATAGACTCACCCTCTATTTCCAAAGACTCGCCAGTATTTTCTTCCCTTAAAATTGACAAAAATGGTACCATATATTCTTCAGTCGTGCTAGAAAAAACAATCGCATCCTTTGCATTAATGAGTAAGTGCTAAGAATATGAATTTTTGTTACTAAATTTAATCTCTTTTTAAACAAAAAAAATTGGTCTGGGTTTGTAGTTTTAAAAAGTTAAACAAAACAAATGGTACACGAGCCTGAAACGTTTGAGAACCACTGGTGTAGTGGTTCGAGACCACAGATTGAGAACTACTGCTGTAGTGGTTCGAGACCACAGATTGAGAACCGCTGGTGTAGTGGTTCGAGACCACAGATTGAGAACTACTGCTGTAGTGGTTCGAGACCACAGATTGAGAACCGCTGGTGTAGTGGTTCGAGACCACAGATTGAGAACCGCTGGTGTAGTGGTTCGAGACCACAGATTGAGAACCGCTGCTGTAGTGGTTCGAGACCACAGATTGAGAACCGCTGTTTGTAAGTGGTTCTTACTCTTGAATAGTGGAGCTCAGTCCTAGTTTGTCAGCTTTTAGTGCCGCTAAATAGTTTCAGTGTTTTGTTAATTGTTTTGTTCTAGAAAGATGTAGCAGCTTTATCAACCAAATCGCAATGAATCAGTCTTTTTTTTAACCTTTTTTTAAATACACAAACTTAAGTAGATCTTAGCCCGAAGTGGCCAAGACCGGGCTGAAAATCCGATGGTTCAAGGTTCGTGTCCCGTTTCCACCAAAGTGTGGGTGCGTTATAATAGTTACAAACAAATCCCATTGTTCTGTCTGACAAGAGTAGTTCACGAACCGGAGAAAGGGGCTGTTCACTAGATACCTTCCCTCTAGTATCTGGTCTCTCAGTTCAATTAGAGAATGCTAGAGCGGATAGTATTTGGCCAATATTACAATCGAACAAAGAAATGAGTCGAGCTGTAAAACACATAGACATTTTCTGTCTAGATGCATAGCTCTCAGTGTTCCCCCTAAGGTCAAACTATACTTTTCCTTGAAACAACCTCGGCCTACACTAGGTGGCCTCCAGGTGTCGCTCAAGATTTCATAACCGTCTCCTGCTAATAAGGGCATTGATGCACGAGTTACATTTCACCATATGATGTAAAATATAGGTCGAGCTTTTTTTGCACGTGTTTCATTGCACGTTTAGCATTTTGGAAATTACCAAGTCTGGTTTATTGAGAAGTGAAGAAACGAGGACACACAAATGATAGATATTTTTTGATGACATAAGCACATTTGTTAGAAATATTTTCAAGCAAAAAAATGTCGCGAAATATTTCAGTCAGAAAGAGCCTTTCGCTTTTATCGTGCACGGAGTGATTTTATGCATTTTTTAAGTGCTTCAAACTGAGTGACAAAAAATATCTTCTCTATCTGATTTTATTCTTAATCCTGACTTATCGGATTTTCTGTTCTGTAAAATCACCATTATAAATAGTAAAATCCTCATTATAAATAGTAAAATCCTCATTATAAATAGTAAAATCCTCATTATAAATAG